ATTTTTCGTCCACGTCATATTTTTACTTCCTAAAAATACTGATTATATTTTTACGCTTATCGGTACAATTATACCACAGTATTTTACACCGGAAAAATCACTGTTCATCAAATTTTCTGAAACTTGTCTATCCACTCGATTTTTTGTTCTGAATCCATTTCCAGGGTTATTTTTATCATCTGAGACCTTCTACTCAATTTTTATCAGCCTAGGGTTGCGTGTTGGCTAATTACCGTTTTGCCCTTCCTTTGTATTTTGGCCTATTTTTCAGGATTTTCACTAATCCTTCCCTTTAATTCTCATTTATTATTTTAATATATAGTTTAGAATTGTGAGGTGTTATAATAGGGTTCACTCACCTAACTATTCAAGAAATCAAAGGAAGGTGTTTAACAATGGCTAAGTACTCTCAAAGTACAAATAACACAAGTTGAAGAACAAAGGTTGTTGATACTCTCACAAGAATAAAACTCAAAGAGATTTTATGATCAAGAAGACAAGAATTGCAAATAGAATGATAATAAATGAGTAATAATGATCAAGAAGTGTTTCCCATCAATGGGAACAGTATTCTCTATTTATAGAGGGCCCCCATGGCTGTTGACACACTCATTTTCGCAAACTAGCCGTTTTGTGGCCGTTATTTTTGTCTTCTGGTGTAGTAGGAATCGATTCCTTTTATTTGGGAATCGATTCCCATCTTTTCCAGTGAGAGGGAATCGATTCCCATATGAAGGGAAACGATTCCCAGCCTATTGGAAAGGCTGAAAATTCATTGTAGAGCATTCTACTTTACTTTAAAACCTTTTCTAACATGTTCAAGCACTTGATTAAATTTTGAAAACATATTTTAACAGATGTATTATGCTAGAGAACTTTTTGCTATCAAGTGGTGATGTGATGCATGTATTTTGACAGGAATGTATTGAGCTTTCTTATGCAAGAGGTCAATTACTCTCAGGATGAATTCTAAGTCCTAAAGTATATTGCTTGAGAATTCTTGGACTTGGATTCTTCTTTTGAAGCTTGAATCTTGATGGGCTTCATGAATTTTATTTGATTATTTCTTTTTGATCGTTGCACCTTGAGGCCTTCTTTCCATGCTTTGATTTGTTATCATCAAAATCCTTGAATCTTTATATTGGTTCCACACTATTACATGCTGATAGTTAGAGGTGGCAAACTGGGCTCCGCCCGGAGGGCCGTCCCACCAACATATTTTTATAATTAAATTAAAATCTTATTCTTCTTCTTTTATAATTAAATTCATAAATCTGATTTTAATTTTTGTAAATACAAATTTGTAAAATTCCAAATACCAACGACACAAATCCTTGCAAAAAATAATTATTTATTATTATTTTTTAAATGTGATTGTAATAAATGAAAGTTCATATTTAAGATAAAATATAAAAACCTAAATGCGACTATAAGAACCTTTTTTGTGGATAAACATAAAAATTTATCACATGCTGATAGTTAGATGTGGCAAACTGGGCCTCGGCCCGGAGGGCCGGCCCACTAACACATTTTTATAATTAAATTAAAATTTCATCATTCTTCTTTTAAAATTAAATTCCTAAATCTGATTTTAATTTTTTAAATACAAATTTTTAAAATTTCAAATGCTAACGACACAAATCGTTACAAAAAATAATTATTTATTATTATTTTGTAAATCTGTTGTAATAAATGAAAGTCCATGTTTGAGATAAAACATAAAAACCTAAATGCAACTATAGGAACATTTTTTTGTAGATAAATATAAAAACCTATTACAAGCTGATAGTTAGAGGTGGCAAACTGGGCTCGGCCCGGAAGACCGACTCACCAACTTATTTTTATAATTAAATTAAAATTTCATACTTCTTCTTTTATAATTAAATTCCTAAATCTGATTTCAATTTTTGTAAATAAAATTTGTAAAATTCAAAATACTAAGGACACAAATCCTTGCAAAAAAATAATTATTTATTATTATTTTATAAATCTGATTGTAATAAATGAATGTCCATCTCTGAGATAAAATTTAAACACTTAGATGCAACTATAAGAATTTTTTTTATGTGGATAAATATAAAAACGTATAACATGCTGGTATATAATGCTGACAATTAGAGGTTGCAAACCGGATTCGGTCCGGAGGACTAGCCCGCCAACATTTTTTTTATAATTAAAGTAAATTTTCGCCCTTCTTCTTTTATAATTAAATTCCTAATTCTGATTTTAATTTTTGTAAATACGAATTTGAAAATTTCCAAACACTAACGACACAAATCTTTGCAAAAAAATATGTATGTATTATTATTTTGTAAATTTGATCTTTCTAAATGAAAGTTCATCTCTGGAAAATACTGAAAGAAGCTGAGTCAAACTTTGTAATTTTTGAAAGACCACATGACAAGGTAAAATGCAGCAATATACTTTTATGTGTTGCGTTAATTTTTACGAGACAAACAAATCGATTTTTTTTTCTCCGTGCAACGCTCGAGTAATACACTAGTTACTGATAGAAGTACGGGTGTAAATAGGCTAGGCTAGGCTTTGACTTAAATAGGTCGGGCCTGTGTAAAAAAAAAAAAAAAAAACATTTGGTCTATCCTAGTAGGCCCCAAATTACAAATTTGGCCCAGACCTATGTTTAAAAAATAAAAGTCTTGGCCTAAGCCTGTTAGCCTGTTTAAGCCTATTAAATATTCAACAATTAAAAGAAAAGTAAAATAATATTACTTTATTATTCAAAATTATTAAAATAATAATTTTATTTATTTTATTTAAAATAAATAATATGATATAGGTCGGCATGTAGGCTTATAGGACTGACAAATACAAAAAAAACCTATGGCCTATTTTCTACATAGGTTTTTTTAAAAGCCTAGGCCTATTCTATTTTACTATTTATAATAAGTCAAGTCTGGTCTAATATAGGCTAGGCCGTAGGTCATTGTAGGCCGGCCTCGCCCATTTACACCCTAAGATAGAAGTAATCCCATTAAACGTTTAATGGTTATGAATGGAGAAAGTACACAAATATGAAATTGGGAAGTTTATGTTAGGAAAGTGACATTAAAATTAGGATAATATGTGTTCAAGAAAAAGATTAAATAACACAAAGTTTTATACATTGCACCCAAGAAACCAAAAATGAAATAATACGAAGTTAAAGTATACTACACGAAAATATATGATAGCAAAATTGAAAATTATGAGTTTAATGTTAGACACTATATCCTTGAAACAATATTGTCCTTTTTATAGTACCCAAAATTCGTAGACAGTTGTCTCTCCGGATAGAACATATTATCTCTATTTTTGTTACGACAATTCCACATAGAGTAACCTCATCGAACTCAACCTACGTATAATCAATCACTTTAGAGTAAAGGGAAAAAACTTGTAAACTAAAAATGTAAAGGGGAAAAACTTGTAAACTAAAAATTTTGATTCCCTGTTTATTTGTAAAAAGACACAACGTCACGATTTAAATGACACTCATTTTAGGATAAAATAACACATCCGTTTGGTGATGAAACAATACTTTTTTAAATCAAATTTTTTATTCATAAAAATAATTAATTTAAAAAATAATTCTAATAATTTATTAACCGAGACCAATTTTTCCTGTTCCAAAAGAAAAAAAGGGGTAGACAAATTTTGTGTGCATAATGTTGATTGAGATTTATGAGTTTTATGTCATAGGAGAGAAGATGTCTCCCAACATAGAGATAAACATGTAGCGGATCCAATTAAAAAAGAAAAAGAAAATAAAATGGAGTTCACTATTATTTTAAGTCAATAGGAGAAAGATATTATTTATGTAACATAAAACTAATAAAGCATATGTTGATTACATAAAAATAAATAAATAATAAAAGACAATATTTTTCTCATGTTGCACGAGAAAAGATTCCTCGTGCCACATATCCATAGAAATTTTAGCCTTCATTTTCTTTTCTTTTCTTTTTTCCTTTTTTAAGTTTGGGACGCATTAAAGTTGTGTGTATAGTAGAAGATTACTACCTCCTATTGCGTGAGATATCGCAATAATAAAACACCTTAACGAACTGAGTTCATATTAGAATTTCTTCAGCACGGGAATTGTTGAAAGACAACTCAGAAGTCAGAACAAAGAATGCTACTAATGTTTTCCGAAAAAGAAAAAAGAATGCTACTAACATGAGACACAGTAGAGCGAAATTGAAGATTTGCAACACAACAAATTGAAGCCGTTATCAAACCAAATGGACACACACACACACACACACAAAATAGAGCGCCTCAATACTATTCTAGACAAGAACGATATAAGAAAACAATACTCCCATATTCATACCTGCCGGGCTACAGTTTTGCAAAAATAATGATACTCACAAAAGAAGGGGGAAAAAATGAGATGGCCTCAGTAGTCAACCTCTTAACAAACTCTTTTTTTTTTCCTTGCAATGGAATGAAGGCAGGAATAAAATTAAATGGATAACTCACTAGTTTCAAACAAGAACTAGTTCTACTACTGCCTAGTACCTATACCCAAGGTAACAATGGTTTTGCTCAGTAAATTTCAGATCAAGGCCTGTCAGTGAATAGGTATCACTGTATCAGTATATCCCACCAGTTAGCACGATGTTTGTGTATATCAACTGTTATGTGCATCTATTGTCACCTTCAGAAGAGGAATGTACAAACGCCAAGTAGACAAGGTCTTCTTTATCATCAAACATTATCTCCTAAATTCAAATAAATTTTGCAGGTTCATTGTGTCCTTCTGTCCTTGGAGTTGTGCAATCCCTCGTTACACCTGTATTCAGGGGAAAATTAATATTATCTCGGGGGGCCAATGGTCCTTTTTATATATCACAAGAAATAGGCTCAAAAACTCAAAATGTTTAAATCAATTCCTTGGATTTCAATTCCTCTCTTTGTATAACAAATCTTATATTATGACAAATGTGGTCCACTATAAGCAAAACACTTAAATAAACAAGACAGTGCCAAATCATTCATTAAGTAACATCAGTGTTGCAGTTTGGTGCATCACTCTTCTGATCATGTCTTGGCAGTCTTGGAACTTCATCGTTGGAAGTTGGTGCATTTGTATTATCATCAGTTTGAACTTCACCTTCAGAACGAATCACATCATTTGCTCTATCATTTTTCAAGTTTTCACCTAAGGATTTTGGTGTACCATTTTTTTCATCATCACTTTGATTTAAAGAAACAGTTTCTGGATCCCAGTTGAGAGAAACCTGCAGGATGGTGATGGATATATAAAAAAGAAACCTCACAAAAGAGCTATTGAAATTATAGGGTTCAGATATGGAAGGAAGAAAAGAGAGAACAAAGTCCGATTGATTTGATATTGAACGTGTGATACAAAAGACATAGCCTAATCCCTATTTATACTACTAGTAGAATCCTAAATTAAATAAACAAATCATGAAATCTAAGAAAATACGGAAATCAATTCTAAGAGTCCTCTAGTATACTCTAAACTATCTTAAGATATAAACTTAATATTATATGATATCTTCTACATATTCTAACAAGAGCAACCCAAACATTCCAAGGATACGCTTTCCTAGCTTGCAATCCATTATATTTTGGAACATCAAAAACCAATTAGGACACAGTAATTCATACTTGGCATGAGATTCATGCACATCACACCCAGGAAGGTGATCTTTCAACCACATACACAACTAGGGCCAAGTGAGTAATCCCTTATTTGAAAACTCTAGGAATTGGACATAATTTAAACAAAGGAAAGAAAGGCAAAACCTTGTTGGTACAGATATCCCAAAAAGTATTACATGAAGTAGATCAAGATAAACTATATATCATAGTACAAGTAATGTTGTATTGGGAAGAAAATTAAGAAATAAAACATCACTTTGCTCTAGGAGCACAGACTTAGTGGCATTTCAGAGCTTTTCTTGTCCGCGCAGAGTGCGTATAGGGACACCATTCACAAGCATGTGTAGGTCTCATGTAATTTTAAAGAAAACAGAGCATCATCCATTCATTTGCAAGGAGCAAATATACAGTATATCATCTAAAAATTAAAACTCAGTGGCAATTAAGAGCATTCCTTGCACGGGCACAGTGCATATAGGCAAACCATGTGCAGTACCCACGAAATCTTTTTCAGCAATTCAATAATCTCACAAACTTCCAGCAATGTTAAATAAAACACAATCTCAAATAAAACCAACTTTCTTTCAATAGCATAAGCTCAACTGAATCCTTCTGTTAATCAATTTTTTTACTCTAAAATTATTTCTTCTCATTAATCTCTAAACCACTAATGAGGCATGCCACAAACTCTATTCAACAGAAGTAAAATGAAAAAAAAGAAAAGAAAAAAAAAGTGACCTTAATAGTCTCAGAAGGACCAGTAGATGTTGGGTTACTTGATATAATAGCAGCAACAGCTTCCATGTGGTGTTCATGAGATTCTGAACCGCCTCCCTGTACTTCAGAAATATCATCCATTCCATCATGCCTAAACACTTTAGATGTCTTTATATTCTTTGGATGTACACCATTTGAGACAACATTTACAGTTTCACCAGAAGTTCTTTTCCTGTTTTGAGAATGAAGCATAAATTAAAACCAAATTTTACCCAAAAGTAAAAAAGGAGCTTAATAGTAGTAATAAATTGTACAGAGAAAGAATGAAACTGGGGAGAGGGTGGGGCGGGCAGGGATGGGAAGACGACATACCTACTGAAAAGAGTAGCTGGGTTCAGGGTGTTTGGCTTGTTTGAAAACAGAATTCCACGAAGAAGCTTTCCATCAATAACAGTTTCAATAGTATATCCTCCCGAGATGTTTTGAGTAAGACTGGCTTGAAACATTTCCTTTCCAGAAGGAGGCAGAGATTGATTTACTGGGATGTTTAGTCTACCTGTGGTCATGATAATGGATATTTAGATTCCTCCAGTGATACTTTTAATGTAAATATTCTAACATCATTTTCCATTCTTTTGATCCTCCTGGCTCATAAACAGTCTACAGTTTTAGAGGGGATATAACAATTTTAGTCAAGACCAACTTGCCATAACTACAGTACATATCTCAGAATTAACACATACCGTTTGGAAGAACAAATTCTACTCTAACACTAACTTCAGCACAACTAAGAACACTAACTCTCACTGCCTTAAATTAACTACTCAAATGGCCCAAATCTGTAGACAACAAAGAAAATGCATTTCTACAAGAGAAAATGTAAGTGTAAGCAGTAATATACATTCGAGGAACTTCCTAAATCCAATATAACAAGAATGACAGGCCAAAACCATATCACTTTAAGGAAAAACTTAAGATTTTATTATTATATTCCTGAATCAGAAATTTCATATATAGGCAAGTTCTTACTTGGTTGGCCATAATTGAATCCTGTCATGGGCTGGCTACTATCAGCACCCATTCCATATCTAACCAGAACTTGGTTTTCGACAAGATTGAGATTTTGTTCTTGGCATTTCAGCTTCAATTGCTTCCTTAAAGATAACTTCTCTGGCCTCAGTTCATTTTCCCGAGCAATCCCTGACAGTAAGAAATATATTATTAATAAAAACATGATTCTGTTACATACTACATAATCTAGAGAAGACTAGAATGAAAAAATTACTCAGTAAATGTAATAATAGGAAAAACAAGACTCTTTGCTGAACCTGTGTATAGGTAGTACATATCATCCAGGGCCTCAAGATTTTTATTACAACCACCAATGAATACAAGAACACCACCCTTAAATGGGTCTAAACAGTCACCAGCTACAGAAAATCTGGGAGAAGGACCATTAGGTGTGGTTGTCACCTTCGTGCACATACCAGTATCTGCTCTCAGTCAGAAAGGAAAGATGATATGAAGGACACAAAATGATTATTAATAAATATATCATGCAACTACTTGAAGAACAAACAAACAATAAATGATTTATTACAAACAAATACAATGAAAAAGTTGGAGCTGCTGTTTATGCTTGTGTTTATCTAAACCAAAATATAATATAACAGGAACTTATACACTAACATGTTGGAATCTATATTAAACATACCAACATCAAGCATATACATGTCATTGTATAGACTTTGGGCGTGAGTAAACCCGCCGAAAACAAACAAGTTCTTGCCAAAAGACACTGTAGAATGACCAGCACGAGGTGTCAACAATTGGCCTGACATACACAGATCCCTCCAAATTAGAGTATCTACATTTACAGAAGTTTCAAAGCAAATGTTACATTCTGATAAATGTCCCTTTATTGTGCATTAATAATTATACCTCAGATACCATAGATTAATACCCGTATCAAGGATATGGACATCAGACAAATAATAATCACGTTCATCTTCACCGCCTATCACAATAATTTTGTTTTTCCAAGATGAGCAAGTATGGCTATCACGAGGAGATGGTGCAGTGCCTGATGTTGTAGCACACTTCCAAACAAACGTCTCTACAAGTGAAAAGAAATTATGAGTATCTTTCTCATCTGATCCATTAATCAAAAGCTACAGACAAAGTTCTAATGCAAATATAAATATAGAAAGAGGAAAATAAAAAACCAACTAAATAGCTCAGCCTTTTAGCACTCTGAACCGAACACTCCTATTTCTAACAGAGTATGGAGATCAAGATGTCAGTTGTTTCTTTACAACTGAAATTATAATGAGCCTCTACAATCATGCCAGGTAGTGTGAGCATTCCAAGTTCTAACATATGTTTTAGAAAATAATCATTAAGATAAGAAAGTCTTGGACAATCTCATAATACTTGTTATCAATCAACCTAAGTGAGGTCTCACATAGATGTGAAGGATACAAATTGTGAAGTGAACTAGCTCGATGAATAACTGGCAGCATGATAAAGGAAAGTCACCTGTATTCAATATGTAAAGATCATTGTAGTAGACCTCATGAATATTATCAGCAGATTTTCCACAACCACCAAATACAAATAGCCGTTTGCCAACAAGTGCTGCACTATGACCCTCACGTGGCTCTGGTTCTTCTCCTCTTACGGTTGGAGAAATCCATGTATGTGAAGCTATGTATAAATTAACATCAGTGAGTACAATGCAGTGAAACAATTAGTAAAGTCATACGGTTGCACGTGCATGCAATTAGGCATAAGTAGAATAACATTCTCAGCTTTTAATTTAAGCAATAAATTTCAGCATCATCATCATCATCCAAGAAAACAACTCAAAATCAAAACCAAAAATGTACATTGTACACATAGGAGATCATTCAACTTCAGCCGAAACTCATATATTTAATATTTCAGGTTTCTGAAGATTTGATGTGTATAAAAATTAGGCCAGCAACAATGTCCCATCCTATAGTATAGATATCACAATTAGAATGATGACTTACAAGTATCTAGCACATGCAAATCATTCAGCACTTTCGTCCCATCAGTACCCCCAAACACAAATAGATTTTCACCAACAAGAGTGCAGCTATGGCTGTCCCTAGGAGTGGGTGGTAACCCTTTTATCACAGGTTGGCTCCAACTCTGCTTCACTGCAAATCACCAAAAAATAAATGCATAAAAAAAAAATTAAAGACCACAAAGTATAGAATAATAAATTAACACACTATTCAACATCGTCAATATATAAAGAACCAATTCAAACAAAAACCTTAAGGTGTTGTGTAAAAGACTTTTTACTAGTTTATATTATTCTTTTAACACACCCCCTCGTGAACAGACCCAATTTTTTGATTTATATTTTTAATTCCAATACAAAGTGAGCGACGTCAAGGATTGAACTCAGGTAGTGTTTGGTTCGGGAGAAATTTTTTTTTACTAGGGAAATGTAATTGATAGGGAAATGGTTGGAAAGTGAGTTTGGTAGGAAAATGTTAAAAAAGTTGTTTGGTTGACCGAAATATTACCAGGGAAATTTATTTAAATATGCAAAATCTATGTTCGGGAGAAACTTTGCACCTGTTTTTTCACTTCCCCAGTTGTCTCAAAATACCACATCTCAAGTGGTATTCTGTAACAGTGAATTTCATCCAAAAATCAACACAAAAGTCATTTTCCCATCTATCCTATTTGCCTAGTATTTTTTAAAAAAACCTGAACCAAACGTGGTATTTTCCAATATCTACGTACACTTTCCCATCAATCCCAAAATAAACCTTCAACCAAACACTACCTCATGACCTTATGGTCATTGAAGGATAAGGTCATTGAAGCTGCTCGATACCGTATAAAAAGAACTAATTCAATTCAACTCTAAAACTTTAAGGTGTTGGATGAAGGTATTTTTAATAATTTATATTATTGTCTGCCAAACATAAAATTCTCACTTCCACATCCTCAACAAAAAATAAAAAATAATAAAAATCTTAGTCCCAAAAGATAACAGATTTCCCATCAGTAAAAACTTATCATGTCAAAATCAATAAGCATTGGGACCAAATAACAAATACCCAAAAAAAATAAAAAATTAACCAAACATTCAAAAAGCGAGACTGACTAGACAAACACTGAAAGGAAGAGAAAATAATGAAAAGGAAAAAACGCAAATAACAATGCAAACAATTTTAATGAAACAAAATTCAAATTTCCTATGAGAACCGCCAATAAAAAAAATATATATTAAAATACCAATTAAATGCGACTAACGAAAAGATGGGAAATATATATTAAAATACCAATTAAAGCCTTACCCTTGCAAATTACAAAAACGGTCTTTTTGCAAATAAAATAAATAAATTGGGGAGTGTAAAAATAAATAAATAAATAAAAACAACAACATCACAGGGACGCAAGCAAGAAAACAAAAAGATTGTGAAAGAAAGAAGAGGGAGAGAGGAGAGAGAGACAGACCAGTGTCAAAGACGTGAATTTGGTTGGTCTGACAGTTATATTGGCCGTAACCGCCGAAGAGATAAAGAAGTTTGCCACCTTTAACGGCGTTGCACGTGTGACCCCACCTCTTCCCCGGTCCCTCTCTTGTGGGGTTTACAGACTCTACCTTTTCCCACCTCATTCTTCTTTTCTTTTCTTTTCTTGACAACACAATCAATTAAGGGGCAACCACTAATCTAATCGCTCAAGAAAACGCACTAAACCACTGAAAAAACGACACTGTTTTCTCTCTATTTAACTCACTCTATTCCGTGCTGTGTTAGCAAGGACAGAAAGTGAATAATCGAATATAACAGGGAAAACATGGGTATTGGGATTTGTGTGCGTTTTTTAGTTCATGCAAAATAAATAAATAAAAATAGCATATATAATTATAATTATATGTAATGTCATGTCACAGCGTGAGTGAAAAATGGTTAAAAAAACAAACCAAGGAAAAGAGTGAGTCCTAATCTAATCAGGTTCCGTGGAGAGAGGGGAGAGGTTGAAATTTTTATTATTTTTATTATAATGATTATTGTTATGATTATTATTTTTTTGGTGAACTTTATTATGATTATTTTGTTCAGTGCTACTTATGTCATTTTAGTACATACATTTATGAGTTTTTTTAAATAAATTAAATATTTTTTTAAATTAAGTGATGCTTTGAATTGAAACGCTTGGCCACATGAGTTGTATTTTTTAATGTGTGAATGAAATTAATTCAATTTTACTTGTGCATTTAATGTAATTAACTTTTGCATAAAAGAATCTTTCAGGAGATTATTGTGTAGCCAACGGAGATTCAGATAGGGACTATAACGTTTTTTTCTAGTTCTTCATTGTATAGTCGTTTTTGGTATATAATAATAATAATAGGGTCACTGGATATAAGATATTTGTTTTGGGTTTGTATCGTGGGCTTCATTAAGCATAAATGAAGCCCATATCCGGATAAGATGAACCGGCTTGTTTTTAACCTGTATACACAGAACCCATGATAGGAGTCTGAAATATGGGCCCTAATCCATGTTTTACTACTATACATGGGTCATACCACGATCTTAATAACCATACCCTTGTTAACTATCCATAATAATTATAATCGTTAACCATACCATATATAAATATCATAAGTAGGTTAATGAAGGACACACAGTATTCATAGAAATTATTAACCCTTTAATGTTCATATAAAACATTTGGCGTTGTATGTGGGGACTGTAAAATTATTCCCACCTTGTTAATGGCTAGTAACAACCGTGAGGAACGTAGAATAAAAAATGGTCCTCTCGTTGGAGAGGAAGAAGAAAAAAATTTCCAATCCAATGCGAGGAGCCATTCTTTAAACACAATTGGACACGCACTAATTCAGCTAGCATAAGATATAAGGAATGGACACCATAATGAAGGGAGAAGAAAGAGGCATCATTCGGAAGAAACACAAGGACTGGAGAATGGGCAACGCCAGAGGAATCTCAAAAGAGGTTCACAATCCCCTATTCCTAGTTATATCCCGTTGTCTCACCTAGTAGCGGACCCAGAAAATTTTATTTATGTGTGCATATTTAGTCTGAATATTTAATGCAGGGGATTTGGGGGCAGTGCTTCCGGAAAAAAAAAAATTAAACAAAGTTTTAAATGCATTAAAAAATAAAAGAATATAAAATAAAATTTATATCCCTTATGTTACATGAACCAAATTTTTTGTCATGTTAAGAAAAAGACAAGACCAATTCATTGAATAATGTATCATTTCACTTTCTTTAATATTATATAACTTGATAAATAATTTCATTCATATAATATGAGGGATATAATTGAAAGGTTCCTTTTTAGCAAAAAAGGATAAGCTTAAGGAAAAGAGAAAAATAAATTAAATGATGCAATTTTTCTGATATCTTTTCATTCATAATGGGTCTTTAAATAAATATTACAACTGAAGCATAAACACTAAAAACATAATGGAAGGTAACTACCCAACTAAACATAACGGAAAGTAACTACCCAACTAAACAATATGGAGTATAACTAACCAACTAAACAATACAGAAAACATGGGACCATGGGTTTGTATCATTCCCCTCTCCATCAAGATGAACCTTGTCCCCAAGGTTCTTGATGTGACCAAGATTGGAGAAGGTCATTTGATGTTGGGTCAGGTTGATTATCATCGAGGAGTAAAAGAGTGGAAGAATTTTTTCACTTATGGCCATGGGAGAAGTGTTCATCGCAATTAAAACAGAGACCTTGTTCTCGTCTGACTTTCATTTCTTCTGCGGTTAATCGTCGAACACCTGGTGGGGGATTTGATGGTGAGGTGGACACAAATGAGAGGTCAGAGAGTTTATCTTCTTGGAGTTTGGCGAGACCCTGGGCTTGAAAGATGGTTGCTAGTTGGAGAGCTTGTACCTCTTTTCGGATTGTTGGTTTAAGACCAAAGATAAAGTTATGAAGTAGGAACTCTGATGGGAGGTTGGAAATGCGATTTGCTAAGGACTCATATGCAGTGATGTAGGCTTGAACAATAGTCGTCTGTTGGAGTTTTGCAAGTGATCCCATGTGATCAGCGTAGGGAGAATCACCAAAACGGGCTTCAAGTGCCATAATGAAGCCGTGCCAGTCATGGAAGGGGTGGTTGGAGTGCATCCACTGAAACCAAGCAAGGGCTAGTCCGTCCATGTGAAACGAGGCAATCTGGAGTTTTTGTTGATGTGGAGTATGGTGAAAGTCGATGAACTGTGTAGCTTTGAACAGCCAGCCAGAAGGATTTATTCCATCAAAGCATGGGAAGTCAAGTTTGAAGGGTCTAGGTTGAAGGACAGGTGGGAAATGTGGAGGTGGTGGTGGTGGCGGCGGAGGTGGAGGTGGAGTTGGTTTATTGGTGGTTGGGGTGATATGCATGAGTTGATCAATACGGCCTATTAAAGTGGTAAGGGTAGTTTGAACCTCATTAAGGCGGTGAACGGTCTGATTGGATTGTTTAGTAAGGTCGGAAATTTGTGTGGAAGTTTTGGTGGATGTTTCACGAAGTTGGTTGATTTGGGAAAGAGCTTGGGTAGAGTTTTCAAAAAGTTTGTTAATTTGTGTGGAATGGATTTCTTGGGTTTCTTCAAGTTTTCTGAAGCGTGTTCCTTCAGCCATGGATGAGGAGAGTGATCTCAATGAAAGCACCAAATGATAGGTTCCTTTTTAGCAAAAAGGGTAAGCTTAAGGAAAAGAGAAAAATAAATTTTTCTGATATCTTTTCATTCATAATGGGTCTTTAAATAAATATTACGATTGAAGCATAAACACTAAAAACATAATGGAAGGTAACTACCCAACTAAACATAATGGAAAGTAACTACCCAACTAAACAATATGGAGTATAACTAACCAACTAAACAATACAGAAAATATGGAGATGCAGTTACATGTTCATGGGATCATGGGTTTGTATCAATAATCCTCAAAAAAAAAAAAAAAAAAACTTTAACTGAACATAAAAAAATAGTAATCAACTTAATGATATAAAACCATAAAACATAAGCATTAAATAAGATGTGTTTCTTTCTTAATATCTGTTCTTTATTCCTGGTAATACAGCCACTAAAATTGCTCGTTAAATGGCACTCATAATTAATTAAAAATATATCTCTTCTTTACTAAAAAAAAATGTATGACCAAATTTATGTGTGCACTTGCACACGTAGAAAACAAAATAGGTCCACCACTAGTCTCATCCTAGGGGACAAGAAGAAGCTTGTCAAGAGGACTGTCGTTTTCAGCATTTAAACTCGCATCGCTAAATTATGAATTTAAATAATTTAATTATGAGTTTAGGAAATAGCTCCATAATTGACTTTGGATAAATATAGATAGATTAGAATAATTATCTAGAAGGTCGAATAATACTTAAGTTATTTTTTTGATGAAAAGTGCAGATACCGATTATGCTTTGCGATATAAATGCGTACCAGAGGAGTATCTCGAAAAATTATAATAAAAATATAAATATTCTTAGAAAAATATCTAGGTTAAGAATACCAATTTTGGGGTAAAAATAATAAGCAGTGATGTCAGAACTAATACCGGGTATGTATAAAACGTGTATCGGTGAAGTATCTCGAAAAATTAAAGTAAAAATATGATAATTCTTAGAAAAATGTCTAGGTTAAGAATATAAAATTTTAGAGTTAAACAATGAGCAGAACTAATTAAACTAATACTGCTAGTTTAAGTGAGTGCACCTATATATACCTAATGACACAAAGCCCTAGGTCAGTTTTCAGACCCCAAGGCTGATCCTCATGGCTGCCACCTCCCATTCTTCATGAAGACTTGAGCATTTTGCACTAAACCTAGCCAAGAAGCTATCTTTCTCCATATTTCTCTATTCCTATGCCATTGAACCATCATCATTCCTTGTAAAGCTTGAGTTTGGTGGGAGAAAAACTATGTCTTGAGAGTGTGAGCTTTTGTTTGCATTAGAGGATGGTTGTCCACTTGAGTTTTGAGTGTGTGAACCATTATTACACTCTAGGGAGCTTCAAGAATCAAACTTTGTGAAGAAAGGACCTACCTTTTAGTGTGATTTTCATGCACCACCAAGTCAGTAGCTTGGAGCATCTTCAAAGTCCTCAAAGCTTCCCCATTTTTTCTATTTTCAAAGTTCCATAGGTAACTATAAACCATTCCCCTTGTATTTTCTTGAAAATGGCTTATTTTGTGAAGTGAAAAGGGAAAACCTTAATGATTCATGTAATATATGGTATATCTATGTTTTTTAATCATGTGGTTTGAACTTCTATTTGATGAAAAATTGGACCTTGGACCCTTGGAAGCCATGGAACTCACGAATTATGCAGAAAAATCTGTAATTTTCGTGTTCTGTCCGTGTGGTAATCGATTACCCTCTGCATGGTAATCGATTACCATGTGTAGTAATCGATTACCTTGTACAGGGTAATCAATTACCGTGTGGAGTAATCGGTTACCCTATGCATGGTAATCGATTACCCCCTGTCAGAAAGACCAGAAACCAGTCCTGATTCGTAGGGAAGCCCCAATTAGGGTATGATACCCTAAGGAATCAGTGTTTGTAACAGTTTGTAACACCCTAAAATTTCTAACAATTTATAAAACATTCTTATAATAAATAAATTGTCAAAATTCAAATTTTATATAATTATGATAATATAAATATTGCGGAATCTAATTTAAAACTAATTTGGGGAAATGTT